TACACCACCACAAATTGACTGACCCGCTGACGCATCAACCCACACTCACTCGACCACCGACTCACTCACTCATTGCTTGCAAGCATTAAGTTTGCGTACAAACAGGGGGAAGGGGGGCGAAGGGGGAGGGTACCAAGGATCTTCCACATAGCCAGGACCCCTAAACACCCCCCGCCTCCCCTTCCCTCAGCTCCACTGCGGGCTTATTCTCTAAACCCAATTGGTTTGAGGGTTTAGGGTTTCAAAGAGAAGCCCCTAAACCCTTTCGGGTTAAACAATTAAACCCAAACCCTTAACTTTTAAATCCTATAAGGTTAAGGTTTAAAGGTCTAGATTTCGGCATTTGCACATAAGTCGGCAATTAAACCTAAACCTTTAAGCTTTGAGCCTTATAGGTTTCATGTTTAAAGGCTTAGGGTTAAGATTTGTAGGCATTAGAACCTAGTTGAGGCATTTGAACCCTAAAACCCTGTAGGGCCTAACAGGCTCAAAGGTCTAACCCTATAGGCGCTGAAGGTCTACATGCCCAGACCTTAGGTTTGCAAACCATTAAAGCCTATAGGGTTCAAAGGTTTTGAGTTTTTGGCAGGGTTTATTTCTAAAACCCTCACGGGTTTAGCCCTTTAGGGTTCAAGCCCTATAGGCTTAAGGTTTAGGCGGTACCTAGTTGTAAAACCTCATAACCCTGTGATTTAGGCATTTAAACCTAAGCCCATTTAGGTTTAAGGTTTGGGCATTTAACCCTTAGCCCTAAACACTTTACGGTCTGAACCCTAAAGCCCTATAGCGCCCAAAAAGGATCAAAGGTTTCAACCCTATAGGAGCTAAAGGTATACATGCCTAGGGTCTTTTCAGGGTTTATCTCTAAAAACAGTCACGGGGTTAGCCCTATAGGGTTTAGACCCTATAGGGTTTGCTGGTTTCGGGTTTAAGGTAGAGGCATTATAAATAGGAGTAGAACCTTACAACCCTGAAGGGCTTGAGGCTTAAATCCCTAAATGCCTATGTTTGCAGGGCTGCAAAGAGAAAGTCGAAGAAGTACCCACATCATGTATGTATATAGGGTATAAGTATTGTATGTCAAACGCAGATAATGGAGAAAGCATACGGTGATGCGAACAAATCATTTGCTGTAAGTCCCGGGAACGCGAGAATACTGTGAGCAAATAGCTTTTCACCATTCCCTGAAACCGCCAGAAGTTTTCTTTTAGATACTTTACTGTTGCATCTTTGTTTTTCAGGGTGCTTCAGTTGGTTGTGTGCTGTTATATCTTAATATAGTGAAGGTTTAGGGTGGTTTTGAGTGAAAGACTAGTGAAAGGGGTACGTACGCCCGCCAGAAGGTTTTGTTTAGATACTTTACTGCCATATTTGTGTTTTCAGGATGTTTCAGGTGGTGGTACGTCTCGTCAGGAGAAACGATATAACCTGCTACAGGAACTGTGTTGCCTATGACAAGTCTCTAAAACGGTGGATCTTTTGGGGGGGGAGGGGGTTAGCATATATGTATATATATACTAGAATATATATATATATATATATATACATATGCTCATGTCTCAAAACTATTCATCCAAACGGGGTCGCGTCATGCGTGTGGTTGGGGTGCCGCCTCATTCCCAATTCCCAAGCCAAAAAATGCCTCTGTGTCTTTTTGCGCCTTTGTGCCTGTGTCTCTATGTGTCTGTGCCTGTGTCTCTATGTGTGAGTGTGTGTGTGTGTGTGTGTGTGCGTGTGTGCGTGTGTGGGTGTGTGTGTGTGTGTGTGTGTGTGTGTGTGTGTGTGTGTGTGTGTGTGTGTGTGTGTGTGTGTGTGTGTGTGTTTGTGTGTGTGTGTGGGTGTGTGTGGGTGTGTGTGTGTGGGTGTGTGTGGGTGTGTGTGGGTGCGGGTGCGTGTGCGGGTGCGTGTGCGTGTGCGTGTGCGGTGTGCGTGTGCGTGTGCGTGTGCGTGCGTCGGCGGGCGTGGGGCGGGTGGGTGTGGGTGTGGGTGTGTGTGGTGTGGGTTGTGTGTGGTGTGTGTGGGTGTGTGGGTGTGGTGTGTGGTGTGTGTGTGTGTGTGTGTGGGTGTGTGGTGTGTGTGGTGTGTGGGTGTGTGGGTGTGTGGGTGTGTGGGTGTGTGGGTGTGTGGGTGTGTGGGTGTGTGGGTGTGTGGGTGTGTGGGTGTGTGGGTGTGTGGGTGTGTGGGTGTGTGGGTGTGTGTGTGTGTGGGTGTGTGTGTGTGTGTGTGTGTGTGTTTGTTTGTTTTTGTGGTCGGGTCGTGTGTGTTTTTGTGGTCGTGTGTGTCTGTCTGTGTCTGTGTCGTGGTAAACCCTATAAACCCTACACACCCTATAAACCCTATAAGCCCTATAAACCCTATAAACCATATAAACCCTATAAACCCTACAAACCCTATAAACCCTAAAGACCCTACAAAGCCTATAAACCCTAAACCCTATGAACCCTAAATACCTCCAGCCACTGCTGGAGACTGGGATCCTTGCCACGTTGCGGAGGATCTTGTTCTTCTGAAGGGATCTGGCTACTATAGGGGTGGAAAGAATTACTAAGAACGTTCCCTTACGGTCCCCGAATAAGTATACCATATTAATAACCCCCTCCCCCCAAAACCCTATTCTAATTATTAAGGCCCCCACATTACGGCTTCTCGGGTCGTATAAGGGGCTTCTTTGGTCTTACAGGACTTTTCATATCAAGGTTTGTTGGGCTGAGGTTCGTTGTCAAGAGAGCTACTGTCTGCAGCTTATGGTTTCGGCTTGTAGAATTGAGGGTGCTACCAGCTAAGGATTGTCCATAGAGCACAAGGCAACAGCTGAAGCCAACACCCTCGCCCTAGATCCTATGAGCCCTATAATCGCCTTCATCCCTAAACTAAGCTCAACCTAAACCCCTAACCCTAGTCCCTAGACCCTGAGACGGAGCCTTTCAGCCAAGGGCTAAGGGGTTGCAACGCTCGCAGGAACAGCGGACTGCAAACCCAAAACAATTGCGAGCTTTGGGTGGGCGTCTGTCTCAGAGTTCTGCCTTGGTCTGTGCTCAGATCGCGACCCCTAAGCCCTAATGCATTTAGATGCAGGCTTACAAGCTATAGTATCTATGTTTATCTTTTGCTTATATGATACTATATCACGTATTTAAAAATCTCGCTACATAAATAAAACAATCAACAAATAAACAAAAAACTAAACAACAAAATAAACAAATGAATAAACTATACCCAGAAACCGAACTCCAGCTCTGAGACAGAGGATCCAGCCGAGTGGGGAGCGGCAGTGGGTGGATGGCACAACTGCCCTGTAAAGCCCAAAGCTCTCATGGATCCCGCACCCCATACGCATTAGGGTGGTTTTGGGTTTTAGGCCTTTAGGGTTTAGGGCTTAGGGTTCAGCAACCCTCAAACTCAAAGCCCTCAGCGCAACTAGTCTCAGGCCCCGCCAAAGTACCGTTGAGACAAAATGCCATGCAAACGCCCAAACGCCCAAACCCTAAACCCTAAACCCTAAACCCTACATGTTACAAGGGGACCTGGGTCTTAAGGCCTTAATGGTTAGTAGCAGCTGAGGAGCCCAGATACGCAATTCACAGCACAATTGCGCAAGTAGGGGCAGAGGAAACTTGTAGGGGGCTTCATCTAAAGCTGTCTGGGACCCACCACCTCTCACCATGATGCCTCCGGCACACAGGCAAGCCGGAGAACCAGCTTGCGCACAACTCTGAGATTGAGGATCCACATTTGTAGATCCTTCTCGTAATCGGCAGCGGATGCTCGATTCACACATGATGAGGGAACCCATGGGCTGCTTTTGACTGCAGTCAAACATCTCTTCGACCGCGGAGTCCCGCCTACATGGCTGCTTCGACACCCGCCGGTGCAACACTGAATTTCGTGGAACCCCCTAAACCCTAAACCCTAAACCCTAAACCCTAAACCCTAAACCCTAAACCCTAAACCCTAAACCCTAAACCCTAAACCCTAAACCCTAAACTCGTGTCTGCGATCGCCTCTGGCGATGTCAAGACTGTCATTCGGCAACGTGTGAGACTTTACATCGCCTTGACGGCTACAGTAAAGGGTCGGCGGCATCTCAATAGTGAAATATGATATGTAGTACTTTTTGAAATATACAACAAAAAAGTAAGGAATACAGAACAATATGTAACAATAATAATAAGACAATATAGAAGGATACAATAATACACAATACAGAATCACATGAAATGCTACATGTGTATTGTATATGTATGTGTATGTGTTTATATATATATATATATATGTGTATACACATACATATGTATATATATATATAACAATGTTACAAAGTCATAATCGACAATACGATAAGATAACATACAAAACGAAGTTAATGGAATAACACATGACAATACTATAGCTTTGGGCTTCGACTCCCACGGCAATTTTCGCTCGGGAATGCCTGAGAGTGCTTTACTTTCTGCTTCAGAACGAATTTCGACATCAGACTCCCAAGGTCAGCAAGCCCTCAGAACGCACAGCTCCCTTCTTACAACCTAGCTGTCCTTAGATGACATATGACTCCGAAAACCATTGAAAACGGACTCGCAACTCATGCAGCAACATGCGCAGACCCTTCAAACTGAGCTTCTCCTTGGGATAAAAACCCTTGGCTCGCGCAAAGAGGTCTGCAGTGCGTCTCGGAAGGTTGTTTGGCCTCATTCCAGTACTTCGTGCAGATCTGTCCCACGCATCAGTCAGAGAAATGCTGACGTGCATACGGACATACACATACATGCATGCCCACATTCATCCACAGAAGTTTTCACATTACGGTGGCAAATTCAGCGGTATTCAAATAATGTCCAGAAGCCAACATGTGTCCAGAAGCAGTCGCTTGATCATCCACAGTCTCATCACGACGGTCTATGCACGCATTACACCTTGAGACCCAGCGCCTGACGTTCGAGGGTCTGTTCATATTAGGCGGAGGGAACAATCCACTTGCAGCAAAAGGTCTCGTGGCCCCGTCACGAGGGCATGGCCTTGCTTGCACGACGAACTTGAACACGTCTTGCAACAAAAGCTTGATGTCTGCAAACTTCAGTGTAGGTGCCGAGTTCCGAACTCAGGATTTACGGCCAGCTTTATTACATTTATGGGGTTTGGAGCCTGGGGCTTCTTGGGAGTTCGAGATCACGCACAAAGCTGCGGGAAGATGGGTGCGGCATGCGCATCACTTTAGCTGCTTTCGCTTCTCTCACCCTGGGCTAGGTTTTCGTGGAAGCTAGCGGTCGAGCAGCCAGCGAAAGCCCCGAAAGCTTGCAAGGCCACCTGTGAAACCTGCAACCTGACAGTCATAATGATAGCAAATCATTGCCATAGATGAGATAGATCAATAGTCGTATTCATAATGAGTACAGGTTAAACCGGAAACTCCTTGCAATCTTGCCAGCAGGTTGCCAGCCAACGGGTGAGCTCTTCACAGCCCACCATGCCATCCTCATTCTCGCAGACTTGTGTTCGAGTGTGGGTTTAGGGTTTAGGGTTTCTGGCTTAAGGGCTGCAGGCATGCCTGAGAATCAAGGACAGACCTACACCACGAGAAAATGAGACTTCAACCTCGCCCACATTTTCTCCGGCAGCCTGTATTCGAGCCGTTGCCAACCCTCAGACACAAAGACAACATCTGCGACCAACAGCACAAGGGTGCACGCCAAGGGTGATCCCCCCAAACCCCCCCCACCTCAAATATTCCCCGTGCTACTTTGGGTTTTGTAGCAGGGTACCTAGCAGCCCTTCACAGAAGCTCTCACTCTCGAAGTTCCAATCTCGTCCATCAAGGTGCGGCTTCGGATTTGGGCAGGTGTGGAAGCAGCGCCTCTGCCAGAGCCTCGGCCTTCAATGATTTGCAGGAGTTAAGGTTCGGTTTAGGGTTTAGGGGGTGCGGGGGGTTGGGGGGAGGAGGGGAGGGGGGGAGGAGGGGGGGGCGGATGGGAGGGGAAGGGGAGGGGGAGGGGGGGGGGGGAGTTGGGCTAAGAGAGCCGTGCGTGCTTGAGAGTGAGAGGGTTCTGGCTGCTTCCCGGCGCTACTTGTTGAAACGCTTGCTAGAGGTGTGGACAGGACTTGAGTATCGAACACAGAATATTTTGAGAGCTAGGAGACCAAAAAAAGCATAATGTGAGTACTTGGGACTAGCAAGACGAAGAACCACTCCATGAATGCTAAGCACCAAGTAGAGTAAGACCCATGACAAGCACAACGGCATAAACAACTCGACAAAGAATGAACATACGCAGCTTTCTGCAACGAGAATATACTGACATATGTACATATACATATTTACGTATTTATTACAAATTTCTGTATATGTATGTATGTATATATGTATGCATGTTTATATATATATATATATATTGATATATATATATATATATGTGTGTGTGTATGATTCTCATATGTATACATATATGAATATATACGTATATATTTATAGATATATACATATATCATCATCATCATCATCATCATCATCATTTTCATCATCGTCATCATCAAATTATCATCATCATCACATGCACACAACAAGTAACCCAAGCAAGGGTGCTTGTGTGGATGCACCCTTGGCTGCCCCAGATTAGAACCCCGCAAGCTCAGATCACGCTGCGGAGGTTCATCGAATCTATAGGTCTTAGTGTAGGGTTTAAGGTATAGGGTATAGGGTATAGGGTATAGTGTATAGTGTATAGGGTATAGGGTTTATTTCCTGGGTTTTTGGGCGCAGCAAAGAAGGGAAGGAAGGCGCCTCTTCATCAGAACGGCCCAGGGCGGAGAGTAGCGCACGGAGGGGGACACGCTCGACGTCGAGCGCCTGTTGAGAGCCCGGCGTGAGGGGGTAGCAGCTACGTAATACACTGACAGATGTCTTCCCGGGCCATGAGTCCTGCTGTTGCTTGAGGTTAGAGGTTTGGGACTTAGGAGTTTTGGGCTTCTTTGAGGGCGATCATGTGGATTAGATGATCCCGGGTTCAGAGTGACTTCCGGCGCCTGTCCCAGCTCGTGCACGCTATAAACATCTACATCACTGAACTGAATGATCCGTGCGTAGCGCGTAGTTGGAAGAGGGGCCCTTTCACTTCACCGGACCATGCATGCGTGCATACTGCACACTTGCACTATGAACATCAGCTGCATATATAGACTACACTAAATTTTAAACCCTTGGCTCCCTGAACATCTCGGACACTTCGGGCCTCAAAGGCCCGCATCAAGGTGGCCTTAGATGTGCTTCAGTGAAGAACTTAGGGTTTGAGGGTGCTCAATATCCTTGCAGGAGCCAGGCTCAATGGAGTGAGTGACATTGCCCATATTTCCCTAAACCCTTTATCCTAAACACTAAACCTAAACCCCTATGCCTTGATTTTTGGGTTGTCCACCGGTCACTATTAAGGCCACGGCCGCCAGATCGTCTTCGGAGAAGCCTTCCAGTGTTCAAGACATGGGCAGTTCTCTACATTAGGGTACCTTTCTAGGGTTTAGGCTTTAGGCTTTAGGGTTTAGGATAGTACGGCACCGTTAAATGTAGGACCACCAAAAGGGACCCCGGAAGTTAGAGGACTACCGATACAGAAGTTGATGGAAATGAGGTGTTGTTGGGAAGCTCTGGGTTCAGAGGCCTGCTCGGTCAGACTGGCCATGCCAAGCGGACCCAAGCCACCCCTAAACCCCTAAACCCCTAAACCCCGAAACCCCTAAACCCCTAAGCCCCTAAACCCCTAAACCCCTAAGCCCCTAAACCCCTAAACCCTAAACCCCTAAACCCTAAAACCTGGAGCGCAAGAACCGATTCAGCCTCTGTGCCCTCAGTCCAGGCCTCGAACAAAAGAGCCTTGACGAGACGGAAGCGAGTCCTGGCGCGAAGGGCTGATGGTTTCGGGGGTCCCCCTAAACCCTAAAGCGAAAGAAAAATGTCCTGAAGCCCAAACTCCAACCCTCAACCCTAAACCCTAAACCCTAAACCCTGACAGAGCCGAGGGCTCTCACAATCCCTCTAAGCAGCCTCCTTGCATTTTCCCGCCCTGAAAACCTGCCGAGGCGCGACTGAGGTGGGGAGGGGTCGGTTGGGAAGGAACGCTGAACCTAGGTGCGCGCCACACGCGTGCCTCGCGGTGGCGTGCCCGGAACGTTGGCAAACCCTAAACCATCCTAAGCCCGTAAACCTCAACCCTAAGCCCTAGAAGCCATCCAAAGCCCCAAGCCCCCAAACCTACAGTATAAGGCCCAGAGACCATGTATAAGGACCACAAACCTATAGTAGAAGGCCCAGAGACCATGTACAAGGGACCACAGACTCTGACGTCTCCTCGCCGTCAGCGCGTGAGCCGCCTGGTCACTGTTTAGGGGCTCAGGTCTTTGTGGTTTAGGGTTTAGGGTTTAGGGTTTAGGATTTAGGGTTTAGGGTTTAGGGGCTCAGGTCTCTGTGCGCCAGTGTTCCGGTGACATCTGGCCGGATGCTCGAATGGGGCTCGCGGGACAGACACAAGCGCTCGAGTTTACTTGTTGTGAGGTAACATTAAATTCAAAAACTCGTGAAGCCGAAACAAGGTTCCGGCCTGAGCTCATGCGAGAGAAGTTGACCTCCTGCTCTAAAGAGACGCCGCGCGTGAAGGTAAAGCCACCTGCTGGCAGTGAGCCTCTTTGTGAGGTCTTCTTGTAGGGCTTGTAGGGATTTAGGCTAAGCACTATCTCTGAATTTAAGGCGTCAGTGCTGACGCCTTTTTTGGGGGGTGGGAGGGGGGGGGGAGAGGGGAGGGGGGTCTTGGGGGGGGGGGGGATTGTTGACGTGCGCTTCACGCAGGTGGGGGGTGTTTGTCGGATGAGGGTTCGGCAGCTGCTCGAGGGCGTTGTGCACATCCCTTTGGAAATCCTGAAAGGCCAAACTGATCGACATAGAGGTACTCACAGCTTCCTGAAACAGCCCCTAAATGCCCCTAAACCCCAAAATTCGAAACCTCCACAGCAACCCTCTCCCCCCTCGGAACAAAATAGAAACTCCACTGAAGGACAGCTTTTTGTCATCCCAGAGGCCCCCAAACCTGAGGGTTCAGGGTCTGAGGGTCCAGGGCGTAGGGCAAAAACCACTTTAACCCCTTTCTCCCTACAAACTACAAACCCCTTCATTTAGCACTTCTTAACCCTCAAAAGCCAAAAAGGCCCCAGCCCTATCAACCCGGCCTGTTTCCACTCCATGCGGCCTGGGTCTCTGGAGTTTGGGGCCTTCGTAGGGGTTTGTACGGTTTATTGGGTTTAGGAGTATAGGATTTCAAGGTTTAGCAGGGCGCTTGCGTTTAAAGAGATGCAAGGGTTTAGGCTCTATGCTGAATTAAGGTTCTGAGTTTAAGGCTTCGGGTTCACAGGGCTTAGGGCGGTTTGGGGTCCAGGGACGGGCAGCAGAACACGAGCTAAACACACGAGGGCTCATTGAGGGCCCGACGAAATCATAGGATTGGGTGGACGAGGGCAAAGGGACGTGGTGTGTCGGATGTGCAGAGCGCGCGACAAAACGTCCAGTATGAATGATGCACTCTGGGCCCTATATTAGGGTTTAGGGTTTAGGGTTTAGTGTTTCGGGATAAGCCCTAAACCCCAAAGCCGTTGCTATGGTCGGGTGGGTCACTTCGTTGGGCTTCGGGATGGAAGCTGCCGTCGCAAGGCCCCTGTACAGGGTGTTTCTGCCTCCCTGTGGCATTTGTCGCAGATCAGATCACCCGCTCTTTCAGCCTTTAGCAACTCCAACCCCCTCGCCCTCCATCTGGGACATAAACCTGGCAGATGATGGAGGGTGTTCTGAACTAGGGCTCTTTTTTTGTGGAGGGAGGGGTCCTTGTACACGGGCTTTTTGTTCCGGACAGGTGCCCAGGAGGGTACATGCTAAGACCCTAAACCCCCGTCCCAGAGATCCGACGCCGCTCTCTTCCCCCCCGGCACAGGGGCCCGGGCGACTGGTCCAAGGAGACGCCGCGGGAGAAGCTGGAGCTCATAACCTGAAGAGTTTTGCGAAACTTGGCTGCACTCAGGAGGGTAGCTATAAATTAAACTTTTAGCTGCCTTAGTAAGAAACCCAATGAACCCAAAAAGGGTAAGGATCTAAAGTTACGGTATAGTACCACAAAGGAAAATAAGGGACCCCGAATATAGAACCCAAATAGCTGGATTCCCTGGAAATGAGGACAAGGTACCCCCTAAGTCTCCGAACGGCCTAGGGCTTAGGATTCAGGATCCTGCTGGTGTGGCCCGGGGCGGGAGGAAGATCGACGCCAGTAAATCGAATTCCTTTGAGGACTCGATATTCTTCAACTGTCTATGAAGGTCCCAAGAAAGTTAAGGAGAAGTCCGGAATAAGGAAAGGTTTGCTTGCGAGAATGTGGGTATGTCTCAACATGCTGTGTATACTGTTCAGGAATTCATAAACTTCAATCCGATCTGACCCGAAACCCTAAACTCCGACCACGACCCCTGGAACACCAAAACCCTACAAACTCCACCCGGAACCCTAAACCCTGGCTGAGTGGCTTCGGATTCCCTACATGGCACAGGGTGTAGAGGGTAGAGGGTTTAGGGTTTAGGAGTTAGGGTTTAGGGTCTGGAGCTTTCGGGTTTGAGGCTCAGGGCTTGACCTTTAATTAGTAGTTTAGGGCGTAGGGCTTTGGAATTTTAGTGAGCTTGGGCGGTTTAGCGCACCAGCGGGTGCCCACCCGCTGCCGCTGTGCAGATGAGCCGCTGTCAACGCCACGGTGTCTGCGAGTTGCCGTGCATCTGAGGGCACCACGAGAGCTGGTTGCCTCGGGGCACGTGCCGTGAGATGCTTTGGGTAGAAGAAACCAGCCCTTAAAATCAAACCGAAGCATCGACAATCGAACGACATGACCTCCGTACTCTGATTTCCCATGGCTCCTGGTCAGGCCAGGCAATGCACCAGAAGATACACCATAGCCCAAACTTCGTCAAGATGATGCGCTGCGTCGCACGCTTCTCAAATCAACTGGCCACTGAAGTCTCAACACTACGTAAAGCTCGGAAGGAAGACAAATCGAGGACCTGCTGAGCCTAGAACAACTCCGTGCAACCCTAAACCCTAAACCCTACACACTAGACTACCCTAAAGCCTAAAGCCTACAGCCTAAAGCCTAAAGCCTAAAGCCTGAAGCCTAAAGCCTGAAGCCTAAAGCCTAAACCCTAAAGCCTAAACCCTAAACCCTGAACCCTAAACCCTGAACCCTAATCCGAGTGCGCCAGCGCAGAGGTTTCCCGAACTGGGAGGCCGACGGGAAGATGTGAGCCCCTAAGCGCCTCTTAAGCCGCCCTCAGCCAAAGACCCGACCTCAGAAGCTTCCCCGACAACACCTCAAATCTGTGGAGCCCCTTCAAAACCCATCAGTGCCGAAAGTCGGGGTTTAGGGTTTAGGGTTTAGGGTTTGGGGTTTCGGGTTTAGGGTTTAGGGTTTAGGGTTTAGGGTTCCTCAAACCCAAAAGCCGTCGACGCCCCCCCCAACGTGGGGCAGAGGCACAGCTGCGGGGCGGGTGGAGGCCACGTAGCCGGCTGGGCAAAGTGCAGGTCCTCCTTGCTGAGGGTTTAGGGTTTAGGGCTAGGGTTTAGGGTTTAGGGTTTAGGGTTTAGGGTTTAGGGTTTAGGGTTTAGGGTTTCGGGTTTCGGGTTTCGGGTTTTTCAAGTTGTGGGGGCTTTGGGGTTTAGGGTAATTTAGGGTTTAGGCCGGGGCAGAGGGGGGGCCTTGCGGAACAGTGTTGAGAGGGGTCCTTGGTCTGTGATCCAGGGTCTAGGGTTCCAGAGATACGTCGCGCCGCGCACATTCTTTGTGGGAGATGGGGCATCAACCACTGACCTCAGCATGCAAAAGTCCCCCAAAAATCAGAAAATCCATTAGCCTAAGCCCCAAACCCCAAACCCCAAACCCTAAACCCTGAAAGGCGGGGGGGGGGGAGGGGGGTGGCTCAACCGGGTGGACTCTTCCATGGCCCTCTTTCGGGTGATCCCCTCGCCTCACGCCAGGCGGACGCATCCGGAGTGAACTCCTTGCCATAGGATCCCACGGTAGGGTTTAGGGTTTAGGGTTTAGGGTTAAAAAGGGTTAAAGGGTTAAAGGGTTTAGGGTCTAGGGTTCAGGGTTTACCCCCCAGATTGTGCTCCCCTTGGGATGCTACAACCTTGTCGCAGGAGCTGCAGGAGAATCCATCGACAACCTTCTGGACCGTTGGAAGACTCAGGACCATTCAGATTCTCCATGGTTCTCCCGTAGCTTGTTGTTGACCGCATGCTTCGAGTTGGGAAGGTTTCGGCAGGCTCAGGCTTCCAACATCCTAATCTCCATATGCATAGAAAGATACGTAGATGCATCTGTTGGGAGCTCATCTCATTATATTGAGTACTATTCACACCAAGAGCCAGCGCATCTTGAGCTTTCCAAGAGCCCTGAAGCAAGGAACTCAGCCACTCGAAGAAACAGACATCTCCCCCCGACTACACCCTATAACCCTATAACCCTAAACCCTAAACCCTAAACTCTAAACCCTAAACCCTAAACCCTAAAACATGATCCTGACAGTGTCCTGAACGGCAGTGACAATATCCAAGGCGAACCCCTTCAAAACAAGAGAGGGACTTGACGGAACTCATCAAATACCCAGGTGGCAGACACATACTTCTCAACAGCATTGACGATTTCACTCCGGAATCCTCCGGAATCCTTGAACCGTCACTTCACGAAGCTATAATCGCATCCATCGAACCTACAGTAAGAGACTCCAGCAAGCTAAAACTATGGGGCAACCTTTGAACATAACACTTGCGCCCTTAGTCAACTCGGCTTGCGCAAGGATGGAAAAGTATGGATAAGGCGACCGCAAGACGGATTCGAGCAGGTAAGAACCCGAGTCATGCAGGGAGGTTTTTCTTGCATGCAATCTCGAGTGAGGAGTGAGGGCAATATCTTGCTAGAACGGGAAACAGCTTTTGACTAGCAAAAAACGATCACTTGCCGGAAGCCGTGAACAGGATCCAAATCCCCCAGCACCTTTTGGCAACGATAATACGTACGACAAGCCATGTTTCATTTTGGTGGAAAGAGGGTGAATCCGCGTATCTCACGCAGCCATGCGGCATATGATCAAGTTGCCCATTGTCATCTTACAAAATCATTTTGGTCATGTCAGTCACCTTCGCTGATGCAAGAAAGAAGCTTAGAACTTCCAGAAAATCAACCAATCCCATGAACATTTGTCGCTGAACCGATGACACCTCGTGCTCGGAAGCAGAAACCACGCGCAGTTCATAAACAAGTTCTTCGCTGAAATCGAGGAGTATGGGCACTACAACCTGACTCTCGATTGTGAGCAATGTGCCAACCTGACCACTGACAGGCGCAATGCAACTATGAATGCAAAGATGGTGGGTGCAGTAGATTCCAATGGGCATTGTCAACAATAGTGCCGAACTCAACAACAGGATAATAGCCGCGGCAACTGAAACAACCGAACACTTAGAGTTTTGTGGCAGCGCCAACACGGGTACCAAACGAAAGTTGCACATTTTCAATGCGATCGCAAGCATAGAAGGTTTAAGCATAAAGGTTTGCACAGACTTGAACCCATACGGCGGTTGTCACTAGATTTGCAGAAGAAGCTAACGCTGTTCAAATAACAAGTTATTCCTATGCAGGTAGATAGAACTCAGCCGAGGGGTTTAATCAGGGAAGAGGACTTAGCTTCCTCCCCCTTTTAATACCCTTTGAGGGATTTTGTATGGTACCTCACTCCCTCATTCCCTGCTAACCAACAATAGGTTGGGGATTACTATACTCCCCTTAGAACCTGCATAAACATACTATTTTTAAAATCCTCTTGGGTTTTATTATATAAACAAAAATGAAAAGAAAAAACCAAGGGTATATAGATTAAGGGCTTCTATGCCCTGCCCTGTGAGGCCTGGGCCAGGGATTCCTCGGCCGCAGCCATGTAGCCGGCTTTCCCGCGTGTGTCACCGAAGGAGAAACCTCGGTACACGCCAACTTACCGGAACTCTGGGGTTTAGGGTTTAGGGTTGAGGGTTTAGGGTTTTCCTGAACCCTTAACAGTATCAGTTGCAGAAGATGGCGAGTTGCTGTTGCTGTTCTTGCTTTACGGTTCGTGTGGTGATTGGTGTTAGGGGGCCTAGGGTTTCAGCACAGACGGGCCCCGAGACTCGGAAATTGAAAGAGGCATGGTGGCGGGTTCCCATCGTTTGGGGTGACAATTGGGTCTCTCTTCCAGCTGGGGTGGACTGGGGGCCGAATGAAAATTAAACTTCGAAGAGGCTACGGCGAGTAATATAGAGCCCCCAAAATCGGCCCATAACTTAGATCCGCCTCCACACGCATGATGTCCCTCTGCTGGCAGCCGGGTGGCAGGAGATCATGTCCGCTTCTGGGGAGAAGCTGGCTGAAAAGCTGGGCGACTTGCAGAGTCCATCGTGGTCCATGTCGGTGTCGTTCCTCGACGCGTCCACGTCCACCTGCGTGGAGTTTGAGCCACGCTTCTAAGCCACCCGGTGTCCATGGAAAGTGCCGTGCAACAGACTTGCCTGCCATTGAACCAAGTTTATGGGTATTTCCCAGAATACGGGTACCCTTTTACACCACAAATAGAAGAGAATCCCCGTAAAGGGACACCCCAAAAAGGAAGAGAAACCTCCACATGCATAGAGGATGGTTGCATGACATGCTCACCATCCTTGGTGGCAGCCAGAACTGACGTTTAGGGCTGGGCGGCTGAGGTTAATCTGAGCGAAGGTCCACATCTTGTTGCGAAATTGGGTCTCTTGGACAAAACCAACGACGCGAACATCAACATCCAGGAGAACGAAGGTGGAAACAGCCTGCAAAACTCAGACCTTACAAACACGTCATGAACTCACAGTGGTGAAGACCTTCTCAAGCACTCTAAGACTGCCCGCAAATCATGAACTCCAAATCCCAAAAACCCAAACCGAGCGCAAACTCTTCGCAACACCCGAGACCCTAAACGCGAATTAACGCTCCGATCCCAGACCCACACACGCAAAACCCTTAAAACATCCGAAAATCCTACAAGCCCCCCTAGGCCCCCTCAAGGCCCCCTCTAGGCTCCTCTAAGCCCCTCTGAGCCCCTAAACCCTAAACCCTAAACCCTAAACCCTAAACCCTAAACCCTAAACCCTAAACCCCACTCCGAGCCCCTCTCTAATAGCCGGCCTCACGGCTGTCCTCGTCGCTGGGAGTTCCCGGACTGCCCTGCGCCCCAAGTGGTAGGAAGGAAAGGCCCGGCGTCACCTGGGGGAAGGGTTCGTTTAGGGTTTAGGGTTTAGGGTTTAGGGTTTAGGGTTTAGGGGTTAGGGTTTAGGGGTTAGGGGTTACAGCGGGAAGAGCAGCGATGGGAATCCTAATTGCGAATAGCACACTGAAGGGCTGATAGGCAAGCAAGAAACAGACAATTATGAAGATGGTTAAGGTTAATATTTATAAGAGTCGAAAGGGCCATCAGGCCATCATGGCAATGGCAAGAGCAGCATCAATCGTAATAGCCACAGGCAAATCTCATAAAAGTGGAAACAAGGCAGCTGCAGTCACAGGACCAGCAACTACTCTCATTGGATGGACCAGCGCTTGCGCTTTCACAACTCTGGATGCGAAACTTATTGCAAGCTGGTCAATTCTGTACCAGCTGTCCGTCGGGTTGCTATGCGCTTGCTCTTTAGTTTGAAGCCCTGTCAGGGGCATGTCAGACACTGCGTGCTCAGAGGATGTGGCTCGGATGTGGCTGCTTGCGGACTTCAGGGTTCAGGTTAAAGGTCACTTGTGATCCAGCCTCCGTCTGGAGTTCTTTCGGACAGGGTCAGCTTGTGTCCGTGGATCGGTAGCTCGGCATCTAGCCCTGGAGCGTGCCGTGACTTCAGCAAGCCCCCGGTGCCGAGAACCCAAACCTCCTCCTCCTTCCTCCTCCTCAAAGGCGCTCCAAACGGATAGTTTAACGTATCTTTATCATTTCCTGAGGCCAGCGCGGACACGACCGGAAGTTGGTCCGGGCCTGGAGGCAGCAGCACTTCAGAAACAAGGCTTGGAGGATCGGGGCTTTGATGGGTACAGGGTGTGTTGGGCGTCGAATGATTTCATGAAACGGGCAGTGCTGAATGATGCAAGGACAAGAACTAGCCATCACGTTTGCCGACGCAAAGGCCACATCACAAATGATGCGCCACAGCCCTTCATGCAACCCTCGACTCGTCACAAAGGGACCCTTGTTTGGCCAACCATCTCCTTTGTCTTACATACCCCGAGCCCAAAACCCTAAATCCTAACGGGCGTGCTGTCAGCCCTTAAGGCTTTTTTCGCGGAAGTCCCCCTTCCAGACCCCCTATTTGTCACGTCCCAATATGGAATCGCCCCGCGCCCGCGCACAGAGATTACGCTAATAGGATCCCAAATATAAGCTTCCAAATAGTAGGATCCACTTGTTTACAAAGGACCCCAAGAAGGTACCCCTATCAATGCCCCAAAACTCCGGTGCCTGGGTCATCTTCCTCCGCGGCGGGGGCACGGCACGAGATCTCCTGGACCATTTCAACCTGAAGAGGTTCACGGATTCGGCTCGCGGAGCAAAAGCCCCGAAAGCCAAGTGGGTAAGAGGAAGCTGATGGGCTCTTTCGTGGGCTGCGTCGCGAATTCTAACGGCCGCAACGTGTCTACAGAGAGAGCGTTGTATATAAGATTGAAAGAACCAATTATGCACAATATTGACAGCTTGCTCTGAATTTTATGTGGTCTAAGGTACCCTACCCTCAGACACATAGAAATGCTGAACTTGTCAGCTGCGATGCCGGTGCGGAATCGGACACGTCGTCCGCCCCTGCGGCATGTTGTGCAGGGATGTAAGGGATTTGGGGATTTACGAAATAGGGGACCCTCCAAAATAGCCCCCCCAAATGGTAGGACTCGCTCAGAATAAGGACCCCCAATACGATACCCCCTAGTTTCGGAAACCCCCGTTTGGGTTCCTTCTTCCTTTCAACTTGGCCTGCTTATATGGGGGTTTCCGAAAATAGGGGTACCCTTTTTGGGGTGTCCCTGTAAAGGGATTCTACTCTATTTGGGGTATGAATGAAAGCCCTAAACCCTAAACGCCCTAAACCCTAAACCCTAAACACTAAACCCTAAACCCTAAACCCTAAACCCTAAACCAAAGGGGTACCCCTATTCTGGGAAATAACCATGTTCCAGAACAGCAGACCAACACTAACACCAAAACAAGCTACGTCAGGAGGCGGGGGCATCCTGACGGCTGAGCATAGTCCTAAACCCTAGACCCTAGACCCTAAACCCTAAACCCTAAGCCCTAACCCTTTCCCCAGCAGTTTGGGTTTAGGGCTTAGAGGTTTAGGGTTTCGGGTTTAGGGTTTAGGGCTCCGGGGTTTAGGGTTTTGGGTTTTGGGTTAAGGAGTCAGCGCCTGCTTCGGACTCGTGTTCATCAAGGCTGCGTGAGCTTTCCGAGCTGCTGCGCTCGAAATCCTCTACGCGAGGGCTTGGCTGCGGGGATCCCTTCTGGCCGAAACTGTTTGGGAGTTTTGCTTAGTTACCCCAACCGCGTAAATAAGGACTCAGACACACAATCACATGGTGAGAGTCATAGAGCATGTATAAGGTCCATGTATTCAGGGTTGGGTCACCAAACGGCCCTCATTAAAAGCCCTACATTGCCAGGAAAAAAACATTTCTGAGGAATATAAATATACAACAAAAATGTTTGTGTGTGTGTATCTACTATCCCCCACTAAGCTGGTTCTAGTCTCGATTGTGGGCCATTGGGTTGGTAGATTCTTTGCGATTGCTGGGGGGGATGTTCCTCTTGGGGGGAGGGGGAGAGGGGGCCATGAACGAAGAAAACTTCTACTGGTTCTAGGGTCCCGAGAAACAGCCGCACCACTTTGGTGCACTCGTTGGGGTTTAGGGTTTGGATTTTGGGTTTAGGGCTTAGGGATTGAGTTTAGGGCCAAACAAGGAAATCCTTAGCATTCAATATTAGTTGAGGCTTAAGCTACAGCAAACCGCTCAAGTTCAAACCCCACATGCCCCGAAAATTCACCCAACAAATCTGGACTTTACACTTTACACGTGCCATGACATGAAAAGGGCAACCTTGAATAAGCTGGGGAAGGTGGAGGTATCTAGCGAAAGTTGAAAATGTGGGGGTTTGCCATATCGACAACAGAAAGTGTCATCCAATAATCCACGTTAGGCCCAAGACTGGCTTCAACAACACCAGGCCCGGGAAGCCCAACACCTTCCGAAGCCCCGGATGCGCAAGCCCTGCACGGGGTTTAAGGTTTCGGGTTTCGGGTTTAGGGTTTAGGGTTCAGGCGCTACAGGCCTCCGGGTAGTCCCGGTAGTCGCTTGTGACAGCCTTCTTCTTCCGAGGCGGCGCTGTGCTCTCCTATCGGAGGCTATGTCATGTGGAGACAGGGTTGAAGAGCTTTAGGGGTCTCCCCTTATACGAACAGTCCTCATTAGGGATTATAGTACCCTCGCTTATCATCCCTATTGAGGGCCATTAGTATAAGAGGGGGACATCCCAAGTTTAAGGGCTTGAAAGAGGTTAAAACCAGTGCGAACCCTCGGACATCCCGGCGGTTCTCTCTTTTTTCCCCTTCGTTGGGTCACTGTTATGAAACGAACTCTTCCTTTATGTAGGGTATCTTCTGGGCTTATCAACTGTACAGGCCCTACAATCCCTCATCTCACCAGTAGAAGCCTTAATCCCTACAAAGCCAAGTTCTCCGAACCTAAACAAATTAAAGCCTTAGTTGTCCAGTAGCCTGGTGGAACTCAATGTTGACCTTTGCGATTATACGGCCATTATATTACCCCAAAAAGGTTAAAGGTTACCTACTCTACTACCAGGAAACCCTAAACCCTAAACCCTAAACCCTAAACCCTAAACCCTAAATTTAAACTCAAAACCCCTTAGACCCTGAAAGCAGAAAGACAGCCCGTCGCAGCTCCTGTTCGGACTCGAGCTCCTGGCGTTCTGCCTCCTGGCTCGGCAAGTCGGTCTAGGGTTTAGGGTTGAGGGTTGAGGGTTCAGGGTTTGGGTTAGTGAGTTTAGTGTTCAGGGTTTAGGTCACGACATAAACTTATCGGGCGAGAGAAGCTCAGACTTTGACCCAAGCACAGCTCTCACAGTCTGTTGCAAACCGCTTTTTGGCTTGTCGGAAAATGAGCTAGTCCAACTCAGCAATTGGCAGGCCATCGACAAAGCCAAGACGAGGCTTGGATCAGAGTGTCACAGACTCATAGACCAAGCAGAACTGCAAGCAGAACTGCAAGCCCGCTAAACCCTAAACACTAAACCCTAAACCCTAAACCCTAAACCCCAAACCCTAAACTAAGGCCACTTTGGAGCCTCTGGATGGCCGTGGCTTCGAACCTCGAGTTCCGCAAGCCCAGCTGCTCTCCACACCCCCTGTACTGCGGATTTAAGTTTTAGGGTTTAGGGTTTAGGATTTAGGGTTTCAGGCCACGCCCCAAACAGCCCACCCAAAACCTCAAACCCGTCCAAACACCTTTAAAACCCATGTTGGGTGCCCAACCCCCTTGCAAACCCGTACCATAAGCCAGTATGAAACCTTAAGAAACACTCCCCTAACCCCTGAACCTATCTATACCCTGCACCCTAAACCGTAAACCCTAAACCCTGAACCCTTTCGCCTCTGTAAACCAAAGGTCTGGCCTCCCCGTCGCTCCCGGTCTCCGACCCGGGCGACGAGCCTCGTGGGCCTGTGAGCCCAAGAGGCGAACACACTTGGGGTGTGGGTTTTGGGGTTTTGGGGTTTTGGGGTTTTGGGTTTTGGGTTTAGGTTTAGGGTTTTGGGGGTTTTGGGTTTACGGTTTAGCGGTTTAGGGTGGTTGTTTGGGCGGTTTGGGGTTAGGGTTGGAGTTTACGGTGTAGACGTTGAGGGGTTTAGGATTAGGTTTCGGGTTCACGGTTTGAGGGGGTTGAGAGTTGGGGCGCAAACCTAGCATCACCCCAAAGGGTCTCACAGAGTTCCATCGAGGTACATGTAAACCCTATAAACCCTACAAACCCTATAAAACCCTACAAAGCCCTACAAACCCTACAAACCCTACAAACCCTATAAAACCCTACAAAGCCCTACAAAACCTATAAACCCCATAAAACCCGATAAACCCTATAACAACCCTACAAAACCCTATAGACACTACAAACCCCCAAAAAAAAAAAAAAACAAAAAACAAAAAAATAAACTGCAAACCCTTAAACCCCGAACTTTCGTCGGCTTTACCTTCTCCAGCACTGCCAGTCGAGAGCCTGGAGGCCTCCTCCGGGAGTGAGCCTTCGTAGGGTTTAGGGTTTAGGGTTTAGGGTTTAGGGTTTAGGGTTTAGGGTTTAGGGTTTAGGGTTTAGGGTTTAGGGTTCGGGTTGAGGGTTGAGGGTTGAGGGTTGAGGGTTGAGGGTTGAGGGTTGAGGGTTGAGGGTTGAGGGTTTAAACAGTTTATGGTTTAGGGTTGTATTCACTGGGTCTTGGAAGGCTCGAGGGTTTGAAGGCTTAAGGGTTGGGGTTCAGGGGCTCAAGGATTTAAGGTTTCGTGTTCACTGTGTTGCGATCCTTTGCCGAACCACGAATGTTCCCTGTTTCTCAGGGTAAGAGCATTCAGTTAGGGAATAGCGTTCCACCACTGGGTTCCCTTCAGCATTGGACGTTAGGCTTCAAGGCCTGTTTCGGGAAACTGGCTGGTCGAAGATCCTGAAAAGCCTAGTGCAGGGTTTAGGGTTTAGGGTTGAGGGTTTAGGGTTTAGGGTTTGGCCCCATAAATGTCTCAGAACCATCATCGCCAAGCCTTCAGGCTGGTGTGCTAACAGGTGTTTGAACCCCTTGGGACGAGCCGCCCCACGAACAGTACCCAGACACATCGTGCGAAGTCCCTGCCTGGGACCCTATTTACCTTTGGTTTGGTAATAAGTGGCCCCTGTTTAGTAGGTATAACCATGAAAACTGTAGGTAAATGGGGTCCAAGGTGCTTTTTGTAACCTAGAACATCACAAAGCCCTAAATATCTTCTGCTGCTTGCGAACTCAAGCGGCTGGATTCTGTCGAACTGCTGTTTTCCTCCAGGTGAACAGAGTGGAACCGCAAATTCTGAGAGGGTTTGTCGAAGAGTTTTGAATAGCAGTCCCGAGAGTGTATAGAGGCGGCCCGGCTAAGAACAGCGCTAGAGTTGCGAAGCACGCAAGCGCTGCGACCGAGTTCTCTATGGCCTCGCAAGTATTAACGCTTGCTTTCTATATGGCTGGACTACAACGTAAGATCATGCAAGGCCCATCCAGCTTGGTTTTCGGCGAACCAGGGGATGGGGGAAGGGTCGGTATATATATATGTATATATATATATATATATGCATACACACAAAGCAAACATATGTATATATATATATATATAGACTTAGCCTCTATATAAGGTACACATTCGGGGGGATGGGGGAGGTGGGGAACGGTCGGGGGAGGGCATTAAGGTGATGTCCCCTTTAAAAGGCCAGCCTCAGGAAAGCCGGCCGAGCCCTCCTCCGAGCTCGCCCGGTCGTCATCCGCCTCGGGCCTCAAGGACTCTTCCGAGGCTCGTCTGTCCTTGGCTTTGGGGTTTGGGGGTTTAAGGTGTAGAGTCTAGAGGTTGAGGGGTTTAAGGGTTTAGGGTTCGGGGTTTGGGGTTTAGGGTTAGCAGGGCTGTAGTCAACCTTCTCATGCAGCTCAAAGTCGTCCGCAACCAATGCGGCAGAATGAAAACCACCCGAAACCCGAGACTGTAACGGGGGGGCGGGGTTGGTGCATTCTCAACCAGCGCCCCTTAGAACCCTGATCAACAAGGCCCTCAAAAGGAGCACATTGCAGACTATTTAGAACAACCCCCAAAATGCATCGAGGAAAGGCGCTTGGGAGGCATCAGGTTCCTCGCGAGCATCCTCCTCAGAGCTGCCGGGCTCTCGGCTAGCGACAAATAGGGTCCGTCGTTGGTGCCAGGGCGCAGTGCAAACCTGCAAATACCCGGGCATGCAGTGTGGGGGTCCCAAGGCCTGGTAAGCCGCCTCCCCGTGGCCTTTGTCAAACTTCTAACAGGTGGGTAGGGTGGGTCCATACCGTCGAGGCCAGAAACAAAGCCGAAAGAAGCAGCCAACAACCACTCAGCAACAAATCAGCGAAGAACAAAGGCAGCTGCACAGAAACAACAAATTACTTATACTTCGACCACCCCCACCCTAGTGCTACCTGATGTGGGAGCCATCTTTCAGACAGGTCAATATGGATGATTTCCCCGCAGGCTTCTGTCGCGGGACTCTCCGCGGAATTCTCTGAGGGCGGGCACTCCAGGGATACTCGGAGGGACTTTTTGCGTGCTTTTCTGGATCTTTGGGGACACTCCAGGAATATCGGCCTTACTCTCTGCAGGCTTCTCTGGGGTTGGCACTCCGGGAAACTCGGCCGGACTCGAGGGACGGGCGGGAGCGAGGAGACGAGAAGGCGAGGAGCACGGTTGACTTAAGATCTAACAACCCCACACCAAGGGTGGGGAACCCTAAACCCTGAACCCTGAACCCTGAACCCTGAACCCTAAACACCAACAAACCGACTACATAGCGCACTGCTTGCACCAGGAGCACCGAATTGGCGACCCAGGGGCCCGCTGAAAGTCAAGCCTACACCACACATAAGCCTCTCAGGTTTGGGGTGTTCAGCCTATTTCTGATGTCTTCGGGACTGTTGCGGGCCCGAACCCACTGCCGGTTCAGGTGAGAGTGCCTGAAGTGTATTGGGGCCTGGGATTTTGGGGCTTAGGGCTTTTATTCGTGACTGTTTAGAGACTCAGGCTTGATAGTGAAGGGTTGCAGGATGTCAGGGTTCGCGGCGCAAGGTTTAAGTAAGGATTTCGAGTCAAGATTTGTTTTTGTTTTTTTGGGGGGTGGGGGGGGAAGTCCTCCTCGGAGTCGCGGCTCTCGGATGAGCTTCGGGGCGCTTCTGCCTGAGGTGAGGCTTGGGTGCTTTTTTGGGTTTAGGGTTTAGAGCTTAGAGGGTGCAGAGGGTTCATAGGGGCTTTAGGGTTTACAGGGTTTTTAGGGTTTAGAGGGTCTGTTTTTTAAGTTGGTAGGGCTTATCTAGATTGGCAGGGTTTACAGCGGCTCGATTGCGGACCCACTATTGTACCAGTCAGCTTTTTAGGGTTTGGGGTTTAGAGCTTGTGGAGGGTTTATATGGGTTTTAGGTTGGTAGGGCTTATATGGATTTGCTTTGCAGGGTGTACAGCGCTTATGGTTCGATTGCCGACCCGTTATTTTACCGGTCTCCACAAAACGACAGCCCTTCCCAAAATAAAGCACATGAATATATGTATATAAATAAATATAGAGATATATATATATATATATGTCTACCTACACACACTCACCAATCTCCCTTAGGAGCCCTATATGCACCAACAAATCATGGTGAAACGCTACGCCTAAACCCTAAACCCTAAACCCCAAACCCCAAACCCCAAACCCCAAACCCCAAAGCCCAAACCCCAAACCCCAAACCCCAAACCCCAAACCCCAAACCCCAAACCCTAAACCCTAAACCCTAAACCCCCCCCCCCCAAACTGGGCCTCCTCCTCCTGCGTCTCCTCCTGCTGGACAGGCTCCTCGTCGGGGTACGGGGCGTCCGGGGCAGCCCCGGGGTTCTCCGCCTCCTCCGAAAAGTCCCCTGAAGCTGAAACCTCCCGAAAATGCCCCTCTTTACCGTACACGCCCTATCATTACATACGGGTACATGTATGTATAAATGGCACATGTCATTTCAAACATCCCAAGTAAGGATGTTTTCTGTACTTTGTAATTTAGACAAATTACCCCCTACTTCTGAGGAGGGCTACGTGTTTAACTAAACTGCCTATACGGTTAAGAAGACTAGCTAACATGCGATGATGTCTCCTAGATACACTACCCCTCAGACTAAAAGTCTGATATGCTGATTGTCTCACAAAATTAGGGCAATCCGATTGATTCAAATCATCTTACCGCTGCTTGTAGAACTGAAACGTCGATTGAAGAATTCGATAATCGCTACATATTGGGAATTGCTTTACCAACTAAACTCAACAAATTAAATTACCCTTTCGCCGCCGTTTAACGTTGCTTCAGTAGATCATACAATTCGACTCCTCAATTTGGCTCCGGAATGTAATTGTTTAAAGAAACAGAAGACACCGTCTTCAGAATTCTGGGGTCACGTCGCACTGAGTTTCGCAGAGACATGGTTTGGGGCGGCCTCTATCCGCTCACAGTATTCCCAGATGTCGGTCTCGCCTCTGTGCTGTGTTTCCTAAAGGAAAATACAAAGCATGAACCCTTCGACCGATAATTACTGACATAGAGGGGGAAGGCCAGTATATTTACAAAATGTATGCACAATGTCTACACTACGAAGTATAGCCTGAGATGTGCCTTCGACACTCATTCTTTCAAGCGAAGATTCTCTCACAAGAGAAGTGTCTCAGATTCTGCTGATTTAAAGAGACGGACTATCTCCAAGCATAGAAATGAACACGTGGGCGCAGAACAGAAACAAAAGAAAGATGATGAAGCAACAGATGAATTTCTGGCTGTCGCGGTGTGGTATAGATATGCCGTTGCAAAGCATGAACAATAGATGCGAACACATGCTGATTTTGTGACAGTATGTACATTATGCAAAAAGCATGAGGACAACGTGTTGAAAAGTCGCTGGGGGGCTGGAGTTGTGGCGTATGCCGGCGCTGAAAGTGCTGAAAATACCATAATTTAAGGTGATGTATCATATTCTCGCGAACCGGAATCCGGTCAGCCAAGCAAAGCCTTGAAATGTACGACATCTATGCAGCCCGAAGCAAGATTAATACGAACACTTGACGGTATTTAAGGTGTTAGTGATGACCCTACGTCACGTGCACCCCCCCCCCCCCAGCACTGGGCCTCCTCCTCGGCCGCCTCCTCCTGCGGGGTAGGCTCCTCGTCGGGGTCCGGGGCAGCTGCGGGGCCCTACATATACACACTATTTCTTTTAGTGCAAGCCATCAACCAAAGCAGGCATATACGAAATAGCAAAATAAAAAAAAAACCTTTACGTATGTATATTCATTAATATTGCATTGATTTATTCATATTCTACGTCTATATACAAATATGTATACATATACACATATACGTATAGTATATACCCTATACAGGACCCCAGTGAGGCACCCGTGACGCCGAACGACTCCTCGACGAACATACGAACACAACAACCGCCGCCCCTGAAGACCCCGAGTTTAGGAGCCATTCTTGTTCGAACAAAACCCTGGGTTTAGGGTTTAGGGTTTAGGGTTTAGGGTTAGGGTTTAGGGTTTAGGGTTTAGGGTACGGGGGCAACCGAAAGGGAGAGGAAACCAACCCCAACAGTCGCCAAAGATTTCACCCTGAACCAACCAGCAAACAACAGGAACTCAAAACTTCTTTTTGCTACCAGGCGCATGGCCCAGTCTTGAGCCATGAAGATCAACAGGTACATTGACCCTTCAACTTCCAACACCAACTCCTTTCTACAATACCAACTGCAGCTCCGCACTCCCCCTGTCCTAGGATTTCCTAGGACACATTGGAGGTGCAGATCTTTGGCCAAAAACTGCCATTAGGGCAGCAGCCAGCTGCCTGAAATGCACATTATGGTTTTACGTCATCCAGGACGAATTTATAGCACATTGGCTAAACCCACTAACCACAGAGAATCTTTTTTCACCATGATCCTCTTGTCATTGAAGACTCTTCGGTCTTCTTCACCACGAACCGTGGTCTTCGCTACGCAAAAAGCTACTGACTTCTACTATCAGGGATTTCCATACCCTTAATAGTAACCACCGTATTTTCAGCACATTGGCTGTTCCAGCGCACCTGTCTTCTGAAAGAGAAAAACCATCCCTTCATCCATACCATCCAGTCACTTCTTCTTCCGATGGGTATCGATGCTGAGGTGAAGTCGCAGCAGAACATACTCTAGGTCCGACACTGTAAGAACAGGATCCTGCACGCACCTTTGAATTGAGGATACCAATCCCTCTCTCTTCGCGTCCTCAATCGCTTGGCAAGATTGACCCAGCTCTGCACCCACAGTGGTAGACGCTTGCGCATCCACATCAGAGGAACGATCCTTTTCCTCAGGACCTTTCACCACTACCACCTCTTCCTTCTTGGGGCTTTGACTTTTCTCCTTCTTCTTCGTCTTTCCCACGACGCTTGACTTTGTGCGCATTCTCGAAGAGGCCTTCTCCCCTGCAGAAACCACCGCATTGGATGATGATCCATCCTTCTCAATGACCGCCGGCATCTTCTTCGGCTTTGGAACCATGAGAGTATAAGGATCCTCGCTAGCTGCAGTTTTCCTCTTCTTTTTGACCTTTTTCACCTCTTCCTCAACGGCAACATCCGTCTCCGAAGCTTCAACCACTTCCTTTTCGGCAGGAATATCCTTGCTGGACTCCCTTTCTAGGGACCTCTTTTTCCCCCTTTTGGGATCTCTGTCTTCTTCAATGTTGGCTCGCTCAAACCATATCCTCAGGTCATTGACCCATTCTTCCACCTCCGCCAGCGAAACCTCATACGACTTCACTATATATTTCGTGAAGTTCCAGCAAGGACAGCATACCAGTGGTCCATGAGCACCATTCTCTATCCATCAGTTCAGCGTCTCCCTTGAACTTCAGGAGTTTGAACACTGGGTCCGCCTCTGCACGAGCCAAATCTGACTTGCCATTGGACAAAAATGAAATCGCCTCCATCAACAGTTCCACCATTTTGGTATCATCGTCATAAACCATGAAATCCTCCTCATTTTCATCGAACCGTTCAGGAGAGATCTCCTTTTCTCCACCTTTTGCACCAGAACTTCTCCTTGGACCATCCCTTGGGGGCGTCCTTGGAGACCTTGGCCTCTGTTCATCCAGCGGATCACCATGCTCAAAGACACACTTGTCCCCATAACGGCACTTCCCAGACTGAGCAAACTGGATACACCTTACACCAGTTGCATCATGTGAAAACTTACACTCCTTTCCAGAGAAGCAGTGTCTCCCAGCCACATAGTACTTGCACCAATACGATTGCAGCACCACATCATCTTCTGAATGGATGAATTTGCAGTGTTCACCAAATTTGCAGCGATCTTTTCCCCTGCTGAACCAATAGCAGAAGCCTTTCTTCCTCTTCTCCAAGCGCTCCGCCTCGTACCGGTCCATAGGGCGATTCTGCTCTACATGAACATTGCCACGTACCTGAGAACTGCTCCCTTCACCCAAGGTGCTATCAGTATTTGATGCTTGGAGTACAGCTGGAAAACCTGGCCTTTGTCCTACCACCTTCATGATTGGTTTTCCGCCAGCTCCTGAGCCACGCTGAGACGATCCAAAAACATTGAATATTTTCACGAAGGCCTTTCTAGTGCCGATCTTCTGCACCCTTTTGATTGGATGTTTCATTGCTCCAACCTTGCATCCAGATACATTCGAACGACACAACCTCCTATACCCAGCTCTATATCCCTTTTTCCAAAGAGCCATAAGAATTCTAGAGGCAGTAACATTCTCCACCTCTACCTTTTCCAACTGTCCCTCACTTTCCGGAACAAACCCATCCAACCCATCCATATCTGAAGACCTTTCCATCTTTTTTGACACCACTTCGTCGAGGTAGTCTTCAGAGATCCAGGGTAAGTTCCTCTTAGAGGAAAAATCGTCACCATTGTCTGGTCCTTCACCAGGATACCCCTTCGTGCTGTCAAAGATCCTACCAGTCGTGCGGTCCTGCGTAGAGAAATCCCAGTTGGAAGCAACGCGAGAGTACACTGACCACAAGAACATCCTTGTGCCAGCCAATCTTGACGACCCACTGGATGTCTCCTCTTCTGGAGAAACTTCTGGCGCTTTGCCATCCCTTCCAGTGTCACCAATTGTCTCACCTCCAGCATCTTCAATGGGAATAGGGGATTCATCGATCCCTTGATCAAATACCGCATCTTCCTGTCCGAGAATCTCCAGCACCGTTGTTGAAGCATCCACTTCCTCATCAGCATCGTCGTCCATCCTGTTCCAGAGAACCTCCAATTGATCAGCGCATGTCGCCGCCTGAAGGAACTCCATCAATTGAGCCTTCCCGCGCTGCCAGAGAAATTCCGAATTCACCACTGACCCTTGGCCACCTAGGGTAAGGAACGGCGCAACCAATTTGAATTTGGCTACCCTTGCCATAAGTTCAACGTGAACTTCCATGCCTGGACTACGACTCCAATCGTAGGCAATTGCCTCCATAGCAGTTCCAAACTTATCAGTATTTCTGAATTCCCCTTCCAGACCAGGAGACAGCAATGCACCCATCACCGAGAGAGGATAATTTCCCACCGCTGGCAAGCACGGATTGTCATGGAACGAATGATGCAAATCACCATAATATCCTTGATCTCTCCTTTGAAAAAGGAGTGTCCCAGTCCCCAGCTGGGCATTCAATTCATCCACTTGAACCATTTCAGCACATATCCTCTGTGCTGCAGTCGCTATTGCCGGCCAGATGGTACGATCGGTCAAACCGCGACGCATAACCCAATCAGTTGTTGGCGACTGAATCAGCGTTCGTGGATCATACACCATAACCACCATTGCACCATCATGCATTGACTGATCAGCATCGTCCTCCAGTGCCAGGTTCAAATCCTGTTCGCTTGCACCTTCGGATGACATGCTAATAACCAAATTTCGATCCATCTTATTGGACCCCTTCTGACAGTCCCTTTGCCCCACAGGCAACTTGCCGACAGCAACCTTCCAATAAATCCGACTCAGAAGGCCTTTAATAAGCAATTGCTGAGGGTCCTTCTTCACCGGACGAACATCCAATGTCTTCGCACCATCACCACGGAGTTCATTGCTCCCACCTTCTCCTTCTTTTTGGTCAGTATTTGCACTGCTCCTTCCAGCGCCGTCTCCTGTCCAGCCACTTCTTGCCCAGGAAGAACTTGAGCGCTTTCAGATCCATTCACCTGTCCAGCAACACCTTGCCCAGGTAAAACCTCATCCGTGGAGCCCACCGCCAGCGAACCAACTATAACTGAGCCACCCCTTGCTCTTTTTTGAGACTGTTCAGTTCGACGAGAAGGTTGTGGTAGCGAAAAAACTTGAGAAGTCACTTCTTGGCGGGTCTCCCCCCGCGACGCTTTGTCGCGCCTTTCGCCAAGGTGAACCGATTTTGTCTGC